AGGGTCTTCTTTATGGAACAAAGTCCCGTGCACGGTACGGTCTATGACGAGTTTAACTACAGTAAGGCAGCCAATGTTTGGAACACAGCAAAGTCAAGGAGGATTAGTTTAGACTAACTTTTATGGAACAGTTCACATTAAATGACGATCTTGTCAAATTATGGTATATTATGTAAAGTATTATGTAATTTAAATAAAGCCTCTCATACATTTTAATACTCTCTTGTATGTTTGTTTTTGTAAGAGTGAATCCTGAAAAATATGCAAATTAGTATGCAAATTGAGAACACTGACCCCTAAAGGTCACACATCCTGGTAATTTCTTTGGCCTAATTTTAAAAAAGTCTGACATGCAAAAAAGAAGTATAATACCATACTTGCTCTATTACAGTAGTAGCACATGTGCTAACTTAAAAAGCAGAGGTAAAAAAAAGTCATATTTTAAAAAAATTACTATAAAATTTAACAAGAATTTCTATTGGAGAAGAATGAGCAAATATGATTATTGCCAGGATGTGCGACCTTTAGTCTTAAGTCTTAATTAGGATTTATTCATAGTGATTTTATCAAATATTTATTGCAAGATGAAATCCTGTTAGACAAATTACATCACTTAGTCATGAATTTGTTTACACCAACACTTCAACTTCATTATTAGTTGTCTTCCATTTATTTGTTTGAACTCCACTCATTCTATCATTTTTTCTTGATTCTTGATTGTAGTGAAAATTCCTTTAGAGGAGGTGATTGCAGAATGGGAGACTACAAGTGCACCATATCAAATAAGAAGTGTTGGACACCATTATAATATATTCCAAGATTTATTTGATGGTGCTGATTTTTTACCTCAGATTATTATGCACATTGGTTTTGATCAAGGTGGAGAAATTGCTCCTGTGTATAGGGGAAATCTAATGACACCAACAGAGGTTTGTGCTATTGTTATGTAGTGCCCGTCAGACATAGTCTGAAACAGACTAGTGGTTTGGAATCTGATCGTCCATTCATGTGTTCGTCTCGCATCATTTCTCGAACATGTGTGGATCAATATTGTTTATTGTTGGTAAAAAGACAAATCATTATGGACTACATATGCAAGTCAATTTTTTCTTGTTTGGGTGACCTTAATTTGTTTAAAATTGCAGTTTGTATATGTATCCGAAATTTCTCTCAGATAGAGAGGGCTTTGTATCAGGGTCATACATACTTGGTTACAGATGCACATTATTTCAACAACTGTTTTTCTGAAATGGTTTGCATGATTTCGTTTAAATTCTACATACTCTGTCGGTTGCAGATCACATAGTGATTCAACCAAATATGCTCAGACCATTACAGTACATAGCATGACACAGTACTATTCAACATACACTGGATTGCTGCTAGTGATGGAATTTGACATTAAATATAAAACAAAGACTGTGCATTGTTAATACTTATACAAGTTTCTTAGATACACTTTCACAGGTTTTGTTTGAATTTAATACAAAAACAAGTCATCATTTGTTTAAGATTTGATGGAGTGGCAGCTATTTTTGACTCCCATG